AATTTGAATTTATTTAAATTATGTATATAATATCTTGTAGTTGAATACATAAAAAGAGTTGGTAAAATGTATATAATTATGAACTTTTAACTAATTGTTAATTTATTTTATTTAAATTATATGTAGTAATTGATTAATGAGTGGTTGGTTGTTTAGAACTATAAAAGTTTGCATCAAAATGTGAAAACTTGTTGGTGATTCATATGAAATTCATCAAATGCTAAATAAGAAACATGCACAGTCAAACCTCATTATTTTAAAATAGATGGAACTGAAAAAACTTAGAGATATAGGAGTATTCAAGATATCGAGTGTTAATTTCTTAAAAAATAAGTGGTTCGGACTTCCAGTTAACTTTGACATATCCGTGGTATTCAAGTTATCAGTGCTTGAGATACCAAAGTTCAACTGTATTTAAATTTTCAGTGACTGAACACTTTTGGAATGCATCTGATACACCTGCACAAACAAAAGTTTCTAGAAAATAAACACTTATTTAAAATTGCAGTGCTTTCTCCTGAGAAATATTAGGATTCAAGGAGACTCATTTATAACTATGAATGACTAAAAAGTGTCAATAGTTCAATGCTGTAGTTCCTTATTCTAGCTTGACATTTGATTTGTTATTGTTGTTGTTGTTGTTTAACGTCCCTCTCGAGAATTTTTCACTCATATGGAAATGCTACCACTTGCTGGTGGAGAGCTGCAAATTTTGACTTGTACTCGGTACTCAGGGCCATTGAGCAGTGAGGGATCTTTTTTGTGCCAGCACCTACTGCGACACTGGACCTAGATATATATGGTCTCATCCGAAGGACCGGTCTCCATGTCCTACAGTGGGATTCGAACCCACGACGTAAGGATCAACTCCTTACTCCGCGACTCTAGAGCAAATGCTCTAACCACTGCGCCAAACAGGTGACGCTTGACATTTGAAATTCAAAGTAAAAACATCAATGTTTTATACACAATTTATAATACTCTAATGCTTCATATATGGGCAAAATGTAACATGAAAAAGTATAATATTTTATCATCTATGGGACTATAGTCATATGTTGTTACCTACCATAAAGCCCTTTGGATTCCATGGGATTTGATCACATGACCAACCTGTATCTATAGCCCCATGGTAATTTTAAAGGGGATAGAATAAATGTGTCAGAAATACTTAAGCTTGTCCCTTAATAACCAGTCCTTTAGCTATAATATCTAAGTTTTCTTAGCTTTAAACCAAAAGAAATTTAACTTAAAAATCCAGCTGTTTTACAAAAATTATACAGTCGTGTATCTTTATAACCAAGTTGATTTGTAAAGGCAAAAAAATCAAAAATGTGCAGATAGTGAAAACAATTACAGGGTATGCGATATATGGTATAGGTCTAATTGGCGACTAATTAAGTCGCCATAGCACCTAAAAATTATGATTGGTGCCTAAAATTTTTCTAGAATTCGCCAAATTGGCGACCATTTTAAATTGGCTTGGTGATCATCAAATTACTGAACTATAAACATTTTCAATTTTTTTTTTTAGAAAGAGCCGAAAAGAAGCAATGGACATGTCTCTAATATTGACTAATATCATTTTTTAGATTGGTGCCTAAGAAAAATTTACCTGGCGGCTAAAAATTTGCATTGGTGACTAAATTTTTTTTTTTCATAAGGAGCCAGTTGGTGCCTAAATTTTAGAGGTCACATAGAGGCCTGTGGTAGAGTCAACATATTTAGTACATGTTTATCAATTTACCAGTCGCCACGTGGCATAGAGTATAGAGCTTTTGCTCCAGAGTTGCAAAGTAAGGAGTTGATCCTTACTTCAAGGGTTTTAATCCCATTGTGGGACCTGAAAACCGGTCCTTTGGATGAAACCGTATAAAGCAGGTTCTTTGTTGCAGTAGGTGTTTGCACAAAATATCCCTTACTGCTAATATAAATGGCCATAAGTGCTGAGTTCAGGTCTAATTTTGCAGCCCTCCACAGGGAAGTGGTGGCTTCTTAACATGAGTAAAAAATTCTCGAAGGGACGTTAAATAAACAGTAAAAAATCATTTTACCAAGGAGAGAAATCAATTGTTAATAAATAGAACATCATGTTTGACATAAACAGAATAAAATATGAAATCTAATTCAATTTGAGCAAATATTTTTCAAATCTAAGAATTGTCGAAACTTCCTGAGGTATTGATTATTTTTAACTCTTTGAATGAATGGGATGTTTAAAATTCTTTGGAATCTTGACTTATTTTAAGTGCACTATATAAGACTATATAAAACTATGTCTCAAAGAGCAGCAGTATTTGGTTTATGTGACTACATAGGTAGTGCATATAGTCAGTGACAATTACTCCTATAAGAGGCTATCAAGTCATTTCCTTTGAGGCATGGAGATCAAAGTCACCTGCATGGTGCAATGGTTAGAGCATTTGCTTTAGAGTCGAGGAGTTTGTTTGTTTGTTTTTATGTTGATTAACGTCCCTCTCGAGAATTTTTCACTCATATGGAGACGCCACCACTTGCCAGTGGAGTGCTGCAAATTTTGTCCTATACTCGGCGCTTACGGCCATTGAGCAGTGAGGGATCTTTTTCCTGCCAGCACCTACTGCGACACGGGACCTCGGTTTATACGGTCTCATCCGAAGGACCGGTCTCCACTTCCCACAGTTGGATTCGAACCCACGACGTAAGGATCAACTCCTTACTCCGCGACTCTAGAGCAGACGCTCTAACCACTGCACTATGCGGGCGACGAGTCGAGGAGTAAGATGATCCTTACATTGTGGATTCAAATCCCATAGCAGAACGTGGAGACCGGTCTTTGGAGGAGACCTTATAAACTGAGGTCCTGTGTCGCAATAAGTGCTGGCATGAAAAAGATCCCTCACTGCTCAAAAGCCATAAGTACTGAGTACAGTTTTAAATTTGCAGCCCTCCACCGGCAAGTGGTGGCTTTTTAATATGAGTGAAAAATTCTTAAAGGAACGTGAAACAAACGTGGAGATCAGTTTTGTGTTTTGAAGATGAAAGGTAAGGAACATTAAATGAATTGAAGTGTGCAAAAGTATTCATACTAATCTCGAGTTTTACAACAACAAATATAAACAAAATCCATTACCTTAATATTCCATTTATAAGTTTCTGAAAGTTTGTTAAGTTATAAATACTGAGTACGGTTGGTCTTGTTTTCTTGATCACCACTGCTTTTCAGACCCATAAAACTTAACCATGTTTTTCCAAAAGAACAGAATATTTTTTTTAAATTTTGCTTTTCCATAAATTAAAGATTTGCATGCATGCTACTTTTTTAACAAGTTAGTCTACTGCTCCATTTCTGAAAACTATGTCAAAGGAACTATACATTGTTTTCGATTCCAAATAAAAAAGTCTCGACAATGAAAAAGTGAGGAATCTAAGATTGTCATGTGAAGATAAATGATCGAAATTTTAGTTTCCCTTTTCAGTAATTTTGGCTCTTCCCTCTGTAAATTCTAAATTTACAAACTGCCATTTTTAATAATCCTACCTTAATTCGTGTGAATTAAGTTAACCAGTGCCACGTATCATTGCTTGTGCAAGTGTTTTGTCATTTAAAAAAAATCTTCGGGGGGGGGGAGGGGGGGAGGTTATAATAAGCAAGCGTTTTGTCAACAAGTTAATGTCACCTAAAAACCTGAAAGGCTCATAGAAATGAACATGGAATAAACATATGTTTTCCGTTCTTATCATTTCCCCTTCTTCATTGACAGTTTTTCCTCAATTACACGTTTTTAAGAAGTCAAATGAGATCTATCATTTATCTGTTTATGTCTTTTCCTATTAATGTTCGTGTATGTCCTATCTGTTTACATCTACATGTAAGTACAGATACTAGCATTAAAATTCTTTGTTAAATGTCTTTTTTTATCTAAGATTATTTATTTTTCATTAATGAAAACAACGTTTAGTAAATATACTGTGAATACTTACATATTGAGACGTAAAAGTCAAGACCTTTCATCATTTCCGCCATTCCTATGCGCATGCATCATTGCGCATCGGAAAGATCCTGTTTGGATGCGCGCGCATCAGCGCGCGTCTAAAATATCAAATGTGTGTTATGGCAGACGATAAAAGTGTGTGATGGTGTAACACAATTTCACATCTTACTATTCTTCTGAGGACTTTCACCAAATTTCACCACGTGATGTAGTTCGATATTTTGTGACGATACAAGCAATTTTTTTCCGAGGACGTGGAAAAAGTCCTCGGAAGAAATTTACGTCCTCGGAGTAAAGGTGTTTTTTCACACTATAGTCCTCGGGAGATCGGTGAAACCAACACACACACACACACACACACACACACAAAGAATACAAAGGAAAAAAAATAAAATATTTTAAAGAATGCAGGTTATCAATAAGTTAACTGATCAATATAAAGAAGTGCAATGTATTTTTTTAAATGCTGTTGCCCAAGGCTAGCGTGGGGCACACAAGAAGTTTGGGTTTTAAATAAGGAGAAAGGGGGGATTTTCCCAAGTAACAACTTGACCAAGCAATAAAATAATTTACAAGCTTATCCATATGGTGTAGTTTCCATATTTATTTATCATTTCCCAGTAGTTCCGATGTTTCAAAAATCAGATGATTATAACAGTGTTTACTAGTCACATAATAACTTTTGTGGAGAGAACATTTTAGTGATGGAATCCCCGTCCGAATTTATCTTCCCTTGATTTCAATTCAGATTTTCATCTTTTCCTTTTTTTTCAAAAATAACCCCGTCTTCTTAAAACCATTCTATATACATATAAGTATCGACTTACTTGCCCCACTAACCACCAAAACATACAGACACAGCCAAAAACTTGATCGATCATTAGTGTAATTTTATAATTATCAATTTTAATTTTTCTAGCCTCTTCCAGGTCCAAGTAATTAAGATTTTTACAAAAACTAATTTGCACCAAATATTAAATAAATATGCTATACAAAAAGTTGATTTCGTATTTTCTTTTTCTGTAGTCAGAACTCAACACACTGAATCAGACGAGCGCAGACATCAATAAATTAGAGAACGAGCTGGATGTAAGTCATAAGTCATTATTAATACACAAGATATTACATAATTATATTACATTTACATGTATTTACAAGATATAACATGATAGCATTACATTTATACATGTATGTGCATATAAGATATTACATGATTGCATTACATTTATATGTATATAAGATGTTACGATTGCATTACATTTCTTTGTATATAAGATGTTAAAGATATTACATAATTACATTACCTCTATAATATATTTATGTAAGTGTTGAATGCAATTAGATATGGATATATATCGGTATTGGTTTGAAATGCAACTTTGAGAACAGGATAGCACAGATGTAATAGTTGACCCTAACGGACCGGATGTAGCCTTCACTTACTTTTCTTATTAATTACTTACATACTTTCTTCTTTTCTTTTTCTCTATACTTACTTCTTTAGTAACTTCCTTCCTTGCTTCTGACTTACCTCCATACTATTTACTTAACTCCTTACTTATACTAACTTTCTTCCTTATTCACTTATTTAATAACTTCCTTCTGTCCTTGAAGTTCCTTCCTTCCAAATACTCTCCTTCCTTACTTCCTATCTTATTAGCCTCCTAACAGACTTATTTAACTCCTTACTTACTCCCTTATTTCCTATCCTATTAACTTCCTTACAGACTTACTTAACTCGTTACTTACGTCCTTACTTCCTAACCTACTTATTTCCTATCCTATTAACTTCCTTACAGACTTACTTAAAGCCTTACTTACGTCCTTACTTCCTAACCTACTTATTTCCTATCCTATTAACTTCCTTACAGACTTACTTAAAGCCTTACTTACGTCCTTACTTCCTAACCTACTTATTTCCTATCCTATTAACTTCCTTACAGACTTACTTAACTCCTTACTTACGTCCTTACTTCCTAACCTACTTATTTCCTATCCTATTAACTTCCTTACAGACTTACTTAACTCCTTACTTACGTCCTTACTTCCTAACCTACTTATTTCCTATCCTACTAACTTCCTTACAGACTTACTTAACTCCTTACTTACGTCCTTACTTCCTAACCTACTTATTTCCTATCCTACTAACTTCCTTACAGACTTACTTAACTCCTTACTTACGTCCTTACTTCCTAACCTACTTATTTCCTATCCTACTAACTTCCTTCCAGACATACTTAACTCCTTACTTACGTCCTTACTTCCTAACCTACTTATTTCCTATCCTATTAACTTCCTTACAGACTTACTTAACTCCTTACTTACGTCCTTACTTCCTAACCTACTTATTTCCTATCCTACTAACTTCCTTCCAGACATACTTAACTCCTTACTTACGTCCTTACTTCCTAACCTACTTATTTCCTATCCTATTAACTTCCTTACAGACTTACTTAACTCCTTACTTACGTCCTTACTTCCTAACCTACTTATTTCCTATCCTATTAACTTCCTTACAGACTTACTTAACTCCTTACTTACGTCCTTACTTCCTAAGCTACTTATTTCCTATCCTACTAACTTCCTTCCAGACATACGTAACTCCTTACTTACGTCCTTACTTCCTAACCTACTTATTTCCTATCCTACTAACTTCCTTCCAGACATACTTAACTCCTTACTTACGTCCTTACTTCCTAACCTACTTATTTCCTATCCTATTAACTTCCTTACAGACTTACTTAACTCCTTACTTACGTCCTTACTTCCTAACCTACTTATTTCCTATCCTATTAACTTCCTTACAGACTTACTTAACTCCTTACTTACGTCCTTACTTCCTAACCTACTTATTTCCTATCCTACTAACTTCCTTACAGACTTACTCAACTCCTTACTTACGTCCTTACTTCCTAACCTACTTATTTCCTATCCTATTAACTTCCTTACAAACTTACTTAACTCCTTACTTACTCCCTTATTTCCTATCCTACTTACTTCCTAACAGACTTACTTAAAGCCTTACTTACATACTTAAATTCTTACTTATTATTTACTTACTTACTCATATATTTTAATACACGTATATAATTAAACATTATTTCATCCCTTATATCATGTATATAATTTAAGAATTGAATGGACAAAAGAAGCTGTAAAAGACTTTATTAGAAAGATGAACAGGATAAAAAAGTTACAATACGTCGATGTTATTTACTTTGAAGGAAGCGAGATGTAACTATAAACTCACGTTCACGGAAGCCTCACAACGATTGGCTCAAGCTGCTGAGAAAAGAAGAAAGAACATCCACAGAGCGCGTGCGTACTTCGAGTTAAAAGAGGAAGCTAAAAAGGTACGGCTGTAGCCTGAGAAATTGTGATTTTTCCCCTAATACTTGTAAGAATTGAAGACTAAAGTCTGCCAGGATAAAGGATTTCATGAAAAGTATGTTAGGTTTCAGGAAGCAATTAAGAAATCTAAATATAACTTCCGAGGCACTTGTCAATCGTGGCAGGGACCTTTATACTATAACGTTAGTATATACATGTACATGTAGGTCCCTGATTGTGGAAAATTCTGGAGTACTGAAAAACAGTTTGATTACAGGCACAGGGCGAGTCATTTAAGGCTGCTCGTCAATACCAGTCCGCCATTAGTGTTTACCGCGCTGCCAAGGAAACGGTGACGCTGGCGGAAGAACGTCTCTTACAGAAGGGGGAGGGAAATCTATCAGCTGCCTGGCAAGAAATGATGAACCACGCCACTATGCGGGTATATGTTCCGAGTTAAGAATTAATAATTAAAACTTTATGAAGTGTGTTTTGATTAATACATGAAGTAGTAAGACTCTGGCATGTATATAAAAATACCAAATCAAAAAGCAGAATGCTCTCCTGGGACTTGCAATTTCAAAAATTCCAAAAAAGAGAGAAACAGTATTGGAACAATTCCACTTTTTATTACAAAAATTATACAGTTATCCTTAATTCAAAATGTACTTCAATCATTGCTTCTAATGCAATATGTATGCATTATATGCAGTCACTTCATAAACCGCGTACATAGATATTTGGGGATCAAAACATAATGTGACTGTCAGTGTACAGCTGAATAAATCGGCTCATACTGGAATCATTGAGCGGCTTCTCGATGATGGACAAGGGAGTCCAACTTCCCAAAAAAATAAATAATTTGCAAACATGAGATTGTATCAGTTAACATTGTTTTTATGATGTATATTTCTTCTGTAAAGCAAAGGTATTTACACATTTCACATAATTACCTTTATTAGATTTCCAAAGGTAAAATATTGTAATTTATCATTTGAATACAATTAATATTTTCGCAGTCGTGATATTTTTAACTTTACCGGAAACTTTTTTTAAGGTGATGGAAGCTGAGCGGGAGAAGCGAGAAAGTGAGGAGCGCCATCTGTCGGCCACGTCACGATGTGCACAGTGTGAAAACAGACTAAAGCAACTGGAAAAGAAGTTCAAAAAATCTATCATAAAAGCAGGGTACATGCAGGTCATGCCAAAATGTCGTATATACATGCATTTTCATGATAACTTGAAAAGAGATAAAACGGGCAGAACCAATTTTTCCTATGGAAAAGTAAAATTTCAAACAAGCTGATAAAAGGAAAAAAACCTAATACATGTATATGGCTCTCAATATTACTTAAAAATGGCTTGATGATAGAAATTGTACGCCTGGGTGAAATGTCGGTTCATGTCCTCTGAAAAGAGAGAGAGAGAATAACCGGTAAATATTTTGCTTTTCCTTAATTTTCATCTTCCTAAATTTTTGAGTCCATACTTTGAAGTCAAACATGAACTCGACCTAAAACTACAACACCAGAAACAGAACGTAACAGACCTACAAGCCGCCATTAAAGAAACAAAAACTAAGTACTCCTCAGCGCTTAACAACCTCGAAAAGATTTCGGAGGAGATTCATCAGAGCAGAAGAGAGAAAATCATGCTCATGTTTCCACGACAACCAGGGGTGGGAGCCGAATCCGGAAGTAGTTTAGCTTCCGCTGTTCCAGACATTGATCTCGGTAAAACCTTGACTACTATCGAGTTTACTTACATATTTTGTTGAGACTCCTATTTAAAAGAACATTTCATTGCATTTCTTAGAGAATCGGTTGCATCATTTTTTTTTATAAATTGTAATAATTATAATTTTATTTCAGATGAAGCGGCATTTGAAAACCTTTCTGACGTCAACGATTCTATCTTCGAAGATGATGAAGATCAGGTTACACAAGGCCTTTCCTTCAAGTGTTCTTCTGATCAAGATGGTGAAACTGATAACCTAGGGAGTGATGCATTTACAAAAACTGGCAATCAAATGCAAATCAACAATGAGAAAGAAAGCATGGAAGTTTTACAACAGAATAACCACCATGTGAGAGACAGTGCACCAAAACAAATCAAAATTGATGAGAAAATGGCGGCTGATATAGCCAATGAAATACCCAGTGACAAAATCCTTGGAAAGATCGAACTTGAGGGCTCAGAAACAAAGGTGCCTTCAAATAAACCAAGCCATCAACAGTCTATAGAGGAATATATAGACTAAAAACAAACAAACAATTATTTTTGAATTTTAATTTTATGAAATTATCAAAGTGACATAGCATGTTTTGTACTCGGTTCTTCTGCATCTGAACGCACTTTATTCCCTTGAGGGTTTTTTTTTTTCGAAAGCAAAAAATTGAAATGAATGATGAATTTCCAAGGATCGAGATCGGTTTAGACAGAAGAGCATGAAAACATCGTTGAAGGAGTACATTAATTCTACTAGGCGCTGCCTAACTGCCTCCCACACACATTTTCCACTCTGTAATGGAACAAGATAAATAACAAACTTTACAGTCATGATAAATAGATAATCATCAAATAAAAAAGATTTAAATGCAGTGGAAAATGGAAAAAAAGGTACATCAGTTATTTTATATTATTGTTATTTTGTTATGATTTATTCTAGAAATGTTCAATGAATTACATACAAGCAGTATTCATCCAATGAGATTAAGCACAAATAAAAAAGAAAGGTTTTAAACACATTTCAACTTTTCCGCTCATCGCCCAACCGATATATTTAATATATTTTTTTACTGTATCATTATTAATTCAAGACAAAAGTGATCAACAAACATCTACACGACTGTACTATTCTATACACAGAGATTCAGTGAAAAAGGAATATTTAACATCTTTGAATATAACAAGATTATCACATTGCAGCATCTATGCAATGTCTACAGTACTCGATGCCTTACTGTTAACTTACATGTACAGGTGTAAAAAAAATCCATAAATACTGGGTTTATCCAGTTATGTAAATGGTCCAGGAATAGTTAAAGCATAAAATAATTATGAACATTGTATAAACACGGGTATTTTCGATGAACAGCTGTTCGCTTTCCACTTCCCATTCTCACATCCGGTTAATCTTGTTTCACTTCCGGAACACGTGATGTTATGATAAAAAGTGATCAAATCTGTATGATAGGGCATGACCTCTTCTGTGGGACTGCTGGCCACGCCCCCTTTGTACCCCAGCTGGCGACACACGACATTACTATTGTTCTCTGACCAAGTGTCGCTACACACTGGCACCCATTTTTCTCTGTGGTGTATTTCGAGGAAGCCAGTATTCCGCTTGATTACATTGTCTTTCTTTGGCTCAAACCATAATCGAATCATATGATCTGCAGGAAATAAGGATATACAATAAAATACTGGAATACGAATTCCCAGGAACATGCAGGTTGATTTGGCTTGGGAGGTAGAGGAACTTTGTTTTAAAATAGTACCCATTTATTTCAGTTAAACTTGCATTAGAGTTGATATTTCTATTTTCAATCCAAATGATATGTTTATGGTTTTCTCTAGAAAAGATTTTTTAAACCAAAAACAATCATATTATGAATTTTACCTACCGCATATAACTCCATAATCGTGCTTGTGGTTGCACGGTTCGGGGTCAATGACAGGAAGAGCTATGGTGCATTGCCTTGACAACAGACAGGTGAAATTCATTGCCCAGAACACCCCGCTTCCTTGTCCGAAATGTCCAGGTTCCGAAGCAATCCCTCCCAAATAGCCCAGATGACGACAGATATAGGAAGCCTCGACATGAGTCAGTGGTCCACACAGCGACCCCCAGCGGCCTTTCTTATAGATCTCCACTCGACCTTCATACTCGTTTCGCCCATCCACCAATGCAACAAAAGGCTCTACAGAAATAGAGAACATTTTCTTTTTTGATACGATTTTCTAAGTAGCTGAGTAAATTCATAATTACTGCAACTATGTTAATTACATGTAAATACACGTTCAGATAAATATTGAAGTGTATTTTAAATAAAGATTTCAATTTTTGTTTTGTTTTTGACGTCACGGGTTCGATTCCCACTTCGGGACGTGGAGATCGATCTTTCGGATGACACTGTTTAAAATGATCGAGATCCCGTGGCACGAAAAAATATCCTCACTAATTAATCTATTATAATTATTGCTTCATCAAGCTTCATTTTGAGTTCAATTAGTCAAATACTAGCTAAAATATTTTACAATATATAAACATTGTCCTTGTCCAAACAAGATAAAGCAATTAATAATGCTCTACCCGACCAGGATAAAGCAGTTAATGTTACCTTGTCCGACCAAGATAAGGCTGTTAATACTCCCTAGCTTTGTCTGACTAAGATAAAGCAGTTAATTTGCCCTTGCCCGACAAGATAAAGTAGTTAATATTGCCCTTGTCTGACCAAGATTATGCAATTTAAGTTGCCCTTGCCCAACCAAGATTAACCAATTGATATTGCCCTTGCACGACCAAGATACATCAGTTTTCCTTGACGTTTCTAGGATTTACCGAAAGCATCACAGTTTAGCATCCTTATCTTCGCTTATATTTAAGTGCATTACTGCTTCCGAGTTATGATAATCATTGTATAAAAACAAACTTTTAACAGAGCAAACAGAAAACTATACGCTATCCTAAAAGAAAACATCCTTTTTCAATTCAATCGATCGACCATTCAATCGTTTTTCAATAAAGCCAAGAACAGTTACATATAAGTGGACTGCTGACTTTGTTTTACTTTTTCTTTAAGGAAAATTGGATTTTGTTTGTATAATAAACATCCTTACTTACCTGGTTCCCCTAGCAGTTGACTTACCTGGTTCCCCTAGCAGTCGAGTCAACGCCGGAAGTAGACGGTGTACTTTTCTGTTTGTCCGATAAACAAAATTAAACTTTTCCTGAAACTCCTCTGTTTGGTTAACGTAACCAACCACACCTGAAGTGTCCGAGGCTTTACTGGGGACGTCTTTAACAACCTCCCGATTCTTAGGTTTGTTTTCATTCAGGTTGGGATCGTCTGACAAGTGGGGTCTTGAAGTATACTTTTGTTCATGCCCTAGTGATGCTTTGGGGTTAAATTTGTCCTGTATTAAAGAGACTTTAAACGCTTTCTTCGTTGTCAATAATGTTTGATTAATTTGGTTTTCGAGGAACTGTAAGCTGGAGAAGATGTACGGAATCCACCCCGTGTTAGAGGCTATAGCCTCCACGATGTGGAATACTGCTCTCGAGTTATTGGAGATTTCCTCCATGTGATAGTCAAGCTGTCCGTTCAGCATTTCCGGGTGCGGTTTCTCTTCTTCGCTTCTCATTTCTTGTAGTTTGAACACTTCATTGTTGAGTTGTTGTATCGTTGTTCTTAGTTCATTCTGGGATGATCTGGTCATCTCAGCAATGATATCTAAAACTTGCGATCCATTCCTGTACAATAATTGAATTTCCTCCATTAAAATCGAAGTAAAGTCACAAGATTTTTCCGGGGATTTGTTATCATCTGTTTTGTAAGTTTTGTTTGATATTTCACTGGGGGTTTGATCTTCCTGTTTCAATCCGTCCTGAACGTTACCTTTTGTCAAATTAACTTGAACCTCCAAGAAATGTCTAATGTCCTCGCGCATTTGTGTCTGGTCGTCTGCCACTGTCTCTGTGGCCCCCACGATTCGCTCGACAAGGTCCCCTGTATGTCGATAAAATCTTATGGAGTCAAGCACATTATCATTGAATTCTTGCAATCTTTCTTCCAGAAGTCTTCTGGCTGTTGCGTTAATATCCACATTCACCGAATCCAACGTCACATTCATGTTGTCTATAGCGTTCAATGTTACGTTTTCCAGGTAAGCAATTTTGTTCATTGTCAGGTTTTGGAAATTGTCAATCCTTGCTTCTACCTTCAGCAGTGACTCAGAACATATCTGTTTAGTTCTGTCCCGCTCCGAGACCACAATTTCTCTGAGAACATTTGCAACCTCGCCCTGTTGGGCAACCGTGTCATTGAGAGCATTAATGATAGACTTCTGGGCATTCCCCATATTCTGATTAACACTACGTGACATTGCCAGCATCTGTTCTTCTATTCTGTCAAAACTCCCTTTGTTTGTCATTTCCATGTTCTTGATTTCTCTTTTTAGAAGCATCACTGATGTCGCTAGCTCTCTATCACTGACTTCCTGTTGTTCTACGCGTGCATGCATATTTTGTAAGAGATTATCCAATGTGTGAAGGTGTGTGTTCACGGTTCGGAACTGTCGTAGATTGTAATACTGCAATGTGTTTAGTCCACGTTCCATCGAGCTCATCCGGGTACTTAGGGATTCGAATTTCTCCCCTACCGTTCGTAAAATGGAATTCACGATTGATTCCTCGATTGGATCCAGGTCCGATGTGACATTTGAACTTACTGATAGTTGACCAATCACAGGAGTCAGTAAGGCAAGAAAAAAGATGTTTGTAATTGAATAATGTGCCATATTCTTTAATTTTTCAAAATCCCGTCAGCGTATAAGAGGGTGTAAACCTACCTCACAACCTGTTCTGAAAAAAGGAAGCGATCACTAACCATACTTTTTTTTAAGTTAAAATCAAAATGTTAGTGAATAAGTGCTATCTCTAAGAATGTAATTAAAAAAAAACAGTTTCCAAAACAGCATTCAAATATTTGCATAAATTGAAATGCTTTATGCTGTAATTGTTTTAAATACTATTTAAAATTACACTGAATTGTTTGTTTTTGAAAAAATATTAGTTAATTAATTATTATAAGATGGATACAGGATACATACCCTGCAGAATTAATCCTTCGCAGATCATCCTTCATCTGAGAACTGTAAGTATTGATCCTGGAGGCCTAGGTCCATGCTGACCTGCTCATTCTTGCACCTCTTTACTCACGTTCCAAAAACTTATTTTTTTTCTTCCACAAAGTATACAATGAATGTCTGATTTTAACATTTGCTTCTCTGTGAAACAAAACAAGGAGGATGCTTCAGTGTTTATACGTGGGCCTAGGCTTATATTATCAGCGTGGGTTTAAGGTAACACGTCTAGATACAGATTGAGAGAGATTTGTTTTATGATAAGCCAGAGTTTTAACTGATGAGCTGATGAATCTCGCCGTAGAAACAGACAAGGCTAAAGTGATCTTAAATTTCAGATATCTCTCTACATCATTGTATCGTGAATGTTGTACTTTATACAAGGATATGTGCATGTTTTTAATTGGACATGTTTTAATGGATTGAGGATTTTGATTCCAATCAGAATTGTTTATGTTTATTTATGTGTGTACAGTAGTGCTCCAGGGGCGGATCCAGGATAGTCATGCAGCTGGAGAGAGGTGGTGCAAACTTTTCTAAAAGATAAAATATAAATGGCAACAGAAACTAGAAATTCACTTTACTTGTAGTAAATACTTTCGTAAATTGTTTTGTGTGTGGTGGTGGGGTGGGGTGGGGTGGGGTGGGGGGTCTTTCTTCCTTAGTTCCTAACTTGTACTGAGAAACTGAACTAAATGTATTTACATATAAGACCGATTCACTGTTTTTAAAATTACTTCTTACAGGTGTATGATAACGTTCATGTCGAAATTCAGATATAATAACTTCGAACACAAAATAAATGTAAACATCTATCCTTTACATTTTTGTTTTATAAATTGGTTTATCTTTTTTTCGGTATGTAGAATGTTCCCATTAAAACTGTACAATATACTAGACTGATCCTGGTATCTTCTTTTTAAAAAAAAAAAAAAACCGATGGCTTTTATCTTTAAAAATTAAAAAGGATGCTTGATTTTTAAAAAAGACAAGAAAGCAGGGAAATTTTGAAGTTTTATTAGTTTATAATTTGTAAATCTTATAATTTTGTACTCGTATTGATAAGACAGAATCAAGTAAACTATTGATCTTTAGCTTCTCTGTGAAACCTACTGTAGCTGGACAGTTGTACACAAATACATGTATTCACTTAGACTATTTAATAGATTATGATTAAAACTTCAGAAATAAGGGGGGGGGGGGATATATCAAGAATTATTTAAAAAATCAAAATAGCCGTTATGTGCATAACCTGAAGAACACTATAACATTGTTAAGAACATTTTCAACGGGGCTGTAATTGTTGCATTAAATAAAATTGATATTTTCACAGACGTGTTATTTTCACAGTGCGAAAATAACTTGAGTGTTGAAAATAACAAGTGTTATTTTCATAGTGTGAAAATAAACGGAACTAATTGGCTAACAGCGTCAGAAAGAAAACAGTAAAAATGTCATTAACAGAAAATTTAATGTTTGGATCGAGTTTGATAAGGAATTATTATCATTTGTGAGACAGGGATTTATGATATTTTAATAGTATTTCGCACTCCCGAAAATAAATAAAAAAGATCCCCTCTTGAAATAAATATAATGTCTAACAACAAACATTGAATATCAGAGTCTATATATTTTTTAGTCGATCCAGTTCAGAGAGACAGTTCCTAATTGGTCGAGAATGTTTTTTTTAAAAAATGAAAAAAATTGAAAAATTAACATTATAAAGACTTGCAGGGAACAAGCTGGATACAAGGTTATTTTTGAAACAATTTTCGATTGAAAAAAATGAGGATTACAAAAAGAAAGAGCATCCACATTTTGAAAAGTTTGAAATAAAAAAGTAAATTATTTGAATTAAGTTATTCCTCTTTCTTTTTTTTTCAGTATATGATTTTAAATTGTTGTTGTTGTTTGTTTGTTTTTTATTGTTTTGTTTTGTTTTTGTTTTTGTTTTTGTTTTTTTGTTTGTTTTTTGTTTTTTTGAAATGATTAAAAGTTCCTTTAGCTATCTGCATGATTATAACTGCCCTACTACGGAACCATGGACAGACGGTAAAATCTGCTCAGCATCTTACGGTAGGAATTGTACTCCTACATATATGTAATCATGGACTCACTGGAAAACTTTTTTAAAAATTTAATAAGATAACTGAATGAAAATTGTTCTTAAATAATTAATTCGATAAAATGCGTGGCCCAATTTTACATTTTCAATTCCATTTAACCTATAATTGTCCTTGTTTAGGTTTACCTTACAGTGGCGTAGATGTGTAGGCTAGTGTGAAGTCACAGATGTACTTTGAGGCGCAAAGTCTGGGTACACTGTAGGCAAGGGACTCCTCTTGATAGGTATTGGGGGGGGGGGGCAAAGGGAGCATTTTTGCAAGCTCGAAGACATCTAGGATTGTAATTTTACCAGTGAAAATGATATTGTAAACATATTTTCAGTTTATATCATGAAATGAAGACCACTTAACGAAAATGAGAACTCTTATTCTTTTACTCTGCTTAGAAAATATGGAAACTTCCTTACTGAATAATCGAAATACGATCAATATGTTTAACTTCCTACTAACCAAAAATAGTTCCAGTTATTAATTTCATTTCCTGCACTAATCCTGTTGCTGTGGATGGTTTTGAAATTGTCTGATAAGATTTAATATAACACTTGAATTTCGGCTTAAAATAGCAAAACTGTAAACATTTACATTGTATAGGTATAAAAGAGCGGATTGCTAAGAATGCTTTTTGGCATTTGCAACAAACAGACAAAATAATATTAATAGACAAGATTTACTATCAAACCCCTTTTCCTATTTTTTCAACTAAATTTTTATCCCTGACAAATTGATGTGTAGGCTACAGCCTTTTTGCCTATATGGAATATACGCCATTGCCTTAGCCTAATTTTAAGTTATCGTTCTTTATATACGAGTTTGTACACGTTCTCGCTCTTTAGCTTTCAGACTCATGATATATGGAATATCTAATTTAAAATATAAAAATAAATAAATAATTTATTTTTAAAGAAAAGTGTAAATAAAACACTGTAAATCTTTTTTTTTAATTCGCGAGAACTTTATTTTCTCGCAATAACTACGCAAAACCATTAGCTCGAATATGTCATTCTCGCGTACACAATAACTAGGAAATTTTTTCTCGCTTTATATAAATGCCAAATAATGGGAAAATAAGGGTTGACAAAAATTTGGCGATCTACAGTATAAAATGGAAACACGTAACACAATGACATCGTTTTCGTTTTGGGAGTATGATTATGATATGGAATGCCTTTAAAATCTCGTGAAGCTAATACCAATGATGCAGACCGACTGTTGTATAAATTTAAGTTAATTAACCTCATTTTATTGTCTCCATGTCTCCAAAAAATGACCAAGTGCTTTCTGATGGTCCAAAGGGGAAAAAATAGTAAAACTGAAAATTTACCCTTCTCTTGACATTAAAAAAAGTGAATAGTCATATCAACGTTTATAATGCAACTGATAAATTTTTCAGCAAATGGCTTAAGTGCCAGGATGATATTTCAGTACATGAAAAAATATGAAATTTTCTCAGTTTCAAGAAGACAACATCACTTGGAGAGTCTTTTGTGTCCAAAATATACATAAGATTTAATAAATCATTTTTTTATGTGGCCGTGGGCCCCTACCCCGACCCCAACCCCTTTTCAAGATTCCTGGATACGCCACTGATGTATGTTTATTTTGTTTTGTTTTTGCGTAGAAAAAAAATATACATTTTACCTCATAAGGTCTGATAAAAGGACCAAATTGACATAAATAATTTTGCTAGAATATATCCCTAGCCCGATTAAAAGTAAAATGAGTTATTTTTCGATGCTTCAAATATTTACTACCCCCCCCCCCCCTAATTTTTACATAGGGCAGCGAAGTAATATTGAGATGTAAAATGATAAAAAGCACAAAAAAGATCATTAAATTGGAGAAAGGAACTTTAGTAACGATTTTTCACTGAAATCTGTTTAAAGATAAAGATTTAAAGCTTACAAAAGCTAACAAGAGAGTTGTTTGTTTAGAAAATAAAATTTATCAGATCACCTAAGCTGTAGGCTCAAATGAGCTTTTCATCCGTTGTCCGGCGTCTGTCTGTCTGTCAATTCACCATTTCTCTGTAAATTTTACAAACTTTAAACTTACATGTAATTCTTTTCTAGAATCACAGATCCGCTATCAACAAAACTACCAAAAAAATTAAAGCAACCGGCTAGGGTAAAGGGAATTCAGATTTATTCAAATGAGGAGCCGCACCCTCTTTCAAGGGGAGATGATTAAGAAAAACGGAAAATTTGATTGAATTTAAAAAAAACTTCTAAAAAGGCCCTAAAAGACAAAACTTCCTAAATTCAAGTTTGTTCAAGTCATGGCTCACGGGGGAGGGCGGAGCCCAATAGGGAATCAAAGTATTACATTTGAATATGTAGGGGAAAGAAATCTTTCAAATCTTTTCAAAAACAGCAGGACCATGTTTAGTTAGAATAATATTCAATTTCAAACATATGGTGACAAAGTTCTGCCACCACTTGTCAGAAAACTATGTCGACTTGTCAGATCATTATGTCGACTTGTCAGATAATTTTGCTGATTTGTCATTTATTAACGTGTTTCAAAATTCAACATGAGAACATGTCTATGAAGAGTGTGTGCCATCGATCCAGTTGACATCATATTTTTCTGACAAGTCAACAATAAGATCTAACAAGTTGTCATAATTATCTCACAAGTTGACATAAATATACGACAGGTCAACATAATTATTTATCTGACAAATTGACAAAACACCGGACAAGCTGAAGTCATTATCCGTCAATTCGACTTAATATCTGACAAGTCAACTTGTTAGATAATTATGTCGACTCGTCGGATATTATGATGTCAAGTAGATGTGAGTTAATGGCAGTAACAAAATACCGAGTTCCTTGTTATGAGGATTTTTATCTGACAAGTCGACATAATCATCTAACAGGTTGACATAAAGATCTGACAAGTCGAAATAATTATCTGACAAGTGGTGGCAGAAATATGCCACCATACAAACATCTTATGATTATGGTGGAATATTTCTGCCACCACAATAGATAATTATATCGCCTTGTCAGATGTTTATTCGAGTTGTCATATCACAAGCATCATGATTAGGAACTAAATGTCTTGATAATGAAACATGTTACTCCCACTAAATGACATCTACTTGTCATCATAATATCTGATAAATCGACATAGGTGTCCAACATATAAACATAATTACCTGACAAGTCGAAATGATTATCTGAATTATCTGACAAGTCGACATAATTATTTGAAAAGTGGTGTGAGAACTATGCCACCATATATGCAATCTTATTAAAATTAGATGTTCCGAATCCGCTAGCGCTTCTCAAACATCTAACAACATCCCATTAGGGGTCACGTCAGAGCGACCTTTCGATTATGAATAAACATAACAATTCTGGCCAATCAGATTCAACCTTCTGTATACGATTCTAAAATTAGTTCGACGGCTACATCTTAACATTATTGATGCTCAGTAGACTGTCTTACGTTGAATTAAAGTAATTTTGGTATAAATTGAACGTATAGTCCGCCAATCTGGCATTCTTACCTAAATAATGCAAACGAAAATGCACAAACTACATGTAAACGTCTATATATCCCGCACGTCACATTCATATTTAGCACGGTCTTTACCATGCATATTTGTTTACTACGAAACCCCTTGGGCGTTTAGGTTTGGCAATAAAAAAAAGAAACGCACCCGAACTATAAGCCAAGATTTCAGAGACGGCGATTTCATTGGGTAATCGAAAGGTCGCTCTGACGTGACCCCGAATGGGATGTTGTTAGATGTTTGAGAAGCGCTAGCGGATTCGGAACATCTAATTTTAATTAGATTGCCATATATGGTAATAAAGATTCAGATGTCTTCGAATGAAGGCCCCTAAAGCTTTGTTTAGGGAGGTGACGCAATAGAGGAAAATAATTATATACATGAGAATATATGTAGGTGAAGATCTTGAACAAGAGGTCCATGGGCCACAACACTCGCCAGAGTAACTTGATCGCCTTTTGTAACCCCACCTTACACACAGGGTCCATGATTTGAATAAAATTGAACCTACACTACCAGAGGATGCTTCCATATAAATATTACTAACTAAAGTTAACCATGGCTTCGCTGTTCTTGTGAAAAAGGTTATTTAAAATGTGTTCCTATAAATTCCTTTGTAAAATTAATTGTGCCCCCCCCCCCCCACCTAAGAAAGTTTTATGAATTCAACAAACTTGAATCTCCTCCACCTAGGTATGCTTCCACATTGATACGATTCATTGTGACACTGGTGTTCTTGTGAAGAGGCGTTTTAAAGATTTTCCCCTATATATTCCTGTGTATAATTTAGATTTACTGTGGCCCAACCTTACTCCCGGGGGCCATGATGTGAAACTTAAATCTACACTACATGAGGATGCTTCCATATTATTGTAAAATCACTAATTTTCGTGGAGGTTTTAATTTTCGTTGTTTTCGAGGTATGAAGAGACCAATGAATTCATGACCACCACAAAATGTTAAATGTCATAATTATGCATAATCACTCAACAATTCTTCATCTACGAAATTCAATCCCCACGAACCCATGTTTTTTTCCTCAAACCACGAAAATTTGACCCAGAGCATGAGATTTTACTGTAATGTGACTAGTCACAGACTTTGCTGTTCTGGAAAAGAAGATTGAAAGATCTTTTTTTTAATATATTCCTAGATATAAAACTTTTTTTTTTTGCCTTTTGTGGTCCGACCTTACCCCGAAGGGCCATAATTTGAACAAATTTGAATCTACACTACATAAAAATACTTCCATATAGATATGAGAAATCATGGCTTAGCTGATCTTGAGAAGAAAAATTTTTAGAAATCCTTTCTTATATATTCCAGTGTATAAAACATTGATCGCCGATTATGGCCCCATCCTCCCCCCAGGGGCCATGATTTCTACAAACTCGAATCTACACCATCTGAGGATGCTTTCAAAGAAAATTTGACTTATCATTGCTTTGATGTTCTTGGGAAGATTTGTAAAGTTTTCCCCTATATATTTCTTTGTAAAATGATTGCAAAATGTGTCTACATCCTATCCCCGGGAGTGGGGGTTCATTATTTGAGAATACTTGACTTTACACTACCCGAGGTTGCTTCGATATTAATATGACTAATCATGGCTTTGCTGTCCTTTAAAATATATCATTTTCATACATATTCCCATATAAACTTTAATTCCCTATTGTGGCCCTACCCCACCCCCGGAGAACATACTTTGAATAATTTTCAATCTACACTACCTATGGAGGTTTTTCACAAAAATTTGATTTTTTTCTGGTCAAGTGGTTCTGGAGAAGATTTTTAAAGTATTTTCCTATATATTTCAATGAAAAAGCTTTGACTCCCTTTGTGGCCCCACCCTACTCCGAGGCCCTGACTTTAAGAATTTAGAATATGCAATACCTATATCTGGGTTTGTATTATTCTAATTAATCACGGAAAATTCTGAGGTGGGGTTGAATTCTTATAGTTGGCTAACTCTGGCCTTGATATCGTGTAGCTTGCCCCTGGTTCCTATTGGCGGGGAGTAGAAGTAAATACAATGTAGGTTTTACAATCTTGCAAGCCTACAATTCTATACCCTTTCTATATTAATTCTGATTTCTTTTTTGCTTTCTATCTCATCACTTTCTCTCAGCCACTTCCTATACGAGTTGAGTAGAGTAGAGCAGATGATCTTACATTTTTGGCCGTGGTTTGCAACGATGCCCCAGTCAGTGCGGCCTATTATACAACCTTTAGTGTATTCTACTTTCAATGTAGACTACACTAAAGGTACTTTGAGAGAGAACGGGTTATTCGATTTTAGCCCTAAATCTAGGTCGATTCTGCGTTTTTCACTAACCTAATGATTACATCATGATATGAAAACTTAACAAAGTTTTGCGATTTCAAGTTTCATTCAAATTATGAATCCTGGTGTTAGAATGGGGCGAAAATTTTGCATAATGCATGCTCTCCTCTGTAACAGTAAGAGTTATCTCCCTCTCCCCATCCCCCCCCCCCCCGGGGGGGGGGGTTACGCTAATTAAGACTTAATATTGAGGAATTATTATTCGTTTTGACAAAACGTAATGTCATGGGAATTCTTTTAATCTGAAAATAATAATATTGTCAAAAATGACAGAGGATTTTAAACAAGGAGCTCTGGACAAGATTTGTAGGTTTCCTTTTAAAATCTGCCTCTCATACTTAAGAACTTGGCAAGTCACTAAAAACAAATATTGCTATCTTTTTCTTGTTTTTATTTTAGATATCAAATAACATTTTTGTACGTTATTAACAACGTTTTCCATATAAAATTAGCAATCAAACATAAGTCTTTTAAAACCAACATATATCATTCAGTCTGTACTCTCATTTCATTTTTACGCCTTTGTTTTATGACAATAAAATGAAATGTTTTAATAGTATAGTAGACTAGTGCAAAATAAACAAAAACAAAAAAAATGAGCAAGTGATTCATAGAATCTTCGATATGAAAACATCTGTATGCTTATCGCGGTGGTGAACAGATGATACTAAGTAACCATGGAAAATAATGTACATGTAAAAGTATGAAAAATAAAACTGAATTAATAATTAAAAAAAAAAGTTATATTCACCTCTGTTTTAAAAGTAAAGGTCTTTTGTGCAGTGATTTTTTTTTCTGTGTTTTCCTTCAAAACAGTCATGTGATAAATTCATATGAACAATAACTCTACAATAAGTTTTTTTTTTCATTTTAAAAATACCAATAGTCAAGGTAAGTGCACTGCAATAAGGTAAAATTTTAAAAAGGGGGAAAACTAGACTCAGATAATGCATGTCTGTGCGTTTATAAAGTGTACTCAAAATTAAGTACATTTATGTGTCATGGACTTCAGCATAATTATTTTAACCACTGTAAATGTGTTATTATATTATGTGCGATTCTCATGGATTAGCAAAGTAAACACTGACTGTGTGAAGTAAAAATCCAAGTCACGCACTCAGATTTTGGGTTTTTATACTTTTATACAAGTCACTTTATGGAAGATGCTTTGGCACACACTTCAACTAAAACATTTTTAAAAATTGAGATTCATTGATCATAAAACGCAAAAAGTAAAACACATTGGGATGCATTCAGTCCACGCACACGGTTCTCTGTCCCACAGACGCTTTCATGAAATAGAACATCACACTGTAAAGACGCACTCCTATGATATACATGTACAATTCATTTCATTCATCTTTTGCGTAAAAAAATATGATGTATAGCACCACCTAACAAACAAAAGCATTTAGAATACATTTAACACACTTCCGCTTTTTGTTAAAACATTTATACATCATTTGTTCAGAAACATAAATAGCTCATTCACAATGACGACATCATACACTCCTTTGATTTGCGATACCCACATACAAAACATTTCATGTTTGACGTTTCATCATGGTTTGACTTTTTGAAAATGAACATGTTAACGTCGTGGCGACAACTTCGATTCGAGATCTTTGAAACGATGAGAATTTTCCTGCTGAATTGGAGACATCATGCTTTCACATTTTTTTTTAGCGATAACAAATGGGTCTATGGCAAATTTTGATTTTTGACATGTTTCGTATTTGTTACGTCATTATAAACGTCCTGGTTTGGCCATCCGGTAAGATGATGTGTTCTTATTATAAATCTATACAAAAAAGTGTTTTTGATATTCTTAGAGAAATAGCTTAGTCTCGCTGCTTGCCGAGGACCTTTCGCTGTCCGTGCATCTGTTGATTTTACACGGTGAAGAATTCTGTTTCCCACCACTGATCACGTGACACGGTGGAACAGTTACATTACGAGGATAGTTATACCTCTCATAGTAGTCAGTGCGCCTGCGCAATAAGTACATGGCGAATATAACTAAGGCTAACAGTACACAAACGCCCGCTACAGGTACGGCGATGTAGATGGGATTTAACATTTTGGAACTGTCTTTATTGGGTCCATTGAGTGCGCATGGGCAGTCGGTGTGGTCTGCGTCATGCGACAATTCACTGTTTTGATTTACTATTTTATTTTTTGTGTCGTCATAACTAGAGTCTATGTCTGCTAATTCTCCTGTTTCTTTGGTGTCTGCAAATTCAAAAATTACACTGATTAGTTTACTCACTAGATCCTGCACAAATTACTAGTATACCTAACACAAACAAATTATCAAAAATTATTGGTAATACATGTAATTACCATTTTTGATTTATAATTACTAGTAGAAGAAAACAGTTTTAAATGTTGTAAATCTGGTTAGATATTGAAACTACAAACCCCAAAAATGCGTTTGGTAAAGTTTTTTTTCCCTCTCATACAAATGCTTATTCTTCTTCCGGTGCATTAAGAGACAAAACGAAATACGTACCGATTTTGTTTTGGGGTGGCGCTTGGGTAGGTACCACGTTTTTATTACAGAAATCTTTATCGTTACAGCAGTGAGAGATTCGGAGTTGTGGCAGTTTAGAAAACAGGCGGCTTTCACAGAGTAAAGGCTGCGATTTGTCAGAACAACCCGCTTCCACGAATCCGTTGTTTGTTTCACTGTAGCACCACTTGCCCATGCACATCCGGGTTCCTTGTTCTAAACATTGCTTAGTTGTGCAGTCACAACGCAGTCCTACAAAAGACAGTGAAACCTTGTTAATTTGTTAATTTCAACATTTGAAATTCAGTTAGCTCTGTAACTACATGTATCATAATATGTATATGTAAACATATTTCTTTTAAGGTTCATTGACTCTCTAATAAGAGAGATCTTAAAAATGACATTTATTCCTCTTCTTTAAAAAAAATGTAATCTTGAATGGCAATTTCTGTCGAATTTTGTTCCGCAAAATATACTGAAACTGTGTGCATTTCATTAAGGCCTATAATAAATAAGATTTCTTTGTAATCATAAGAAAAATAGATAAAACGGAATAATAAGGTAGCATATCGTCCACTGATAAATCTTTGAGTTTAAAAATCTAAAAACAAGATTGTCTTCATTCACAAAACGAAACGAAAGACTGTTTTGTCGTCCCCTATCCATCATAACTACAGGGATAATGACAATTGAATATCAAGCAAAGTGATAAAGTAATGAACACATTCGAAACAGATCATATGAAAACGGGTTATATTTGAACATGTATGCATGTATGTGATTTAAATATTCCCCATAATGCAATGCTTTATGACTGGTTTGGAATCGTTAAAGGCTAAAATACATTCTGCATATCTTCGTCTATCTACTTAAACATGTTGTAATCGACTTGATTCATAAGTTTTGAAAGCGTTAAAAAACGTTCAAAGGAAGCGTCAACAATGTCTGTGCACTGCATGATGGATTGCCACAAATAAAAATACTTCAAACCATTCTTCACGGGGGAAAAATAAAAAAAAGGAAGAAATTATTTTGACTTTTATTACAACCGTAAACAATCGTCTCGATGGCCAATCAGAAAGAGCACGACTATTTCAGGTGTGAAAACTGGCGACTTGATGTCATTGCTAAAGGGTGAATATCGTTCATCAGGTATTCAGAATTGTCAGAAGAATAAACATTAAGTCGTCAGTGGATTTCTTCTTTGATGAGTAGCAAAGCTCTGATTAATATACATAACAGTGTCAAGTCAAATGTACACTGTAAATGTATGATTATTAGATTCTCTTCACTAAACTGTTCCAAAACACTTTTTAAAACGGGGACAACCTTCAAGAGCTAAGTGAAACAGTGCACGATAGCTTTTATTCTATCTTTTTTCATAAAATAAGAGAATATGAGTAATTTATTTTTAATTTAAATAAATGCATCTTTCAGAAGTTTCTCTTATTGCCAGACAAGTTCGTTTTATATACCACGTGACATCTCTTTCCTTGCCTAGCGGATGATAAGTTCCTGTCATATTGTTGTGTATGGTTTAAATCTACATCTACAAAAATTCGATAAACTTGTGTTTCTGTGCCGTCAGCATAGCAGGAAATGTTGTTTTGCAAAGACACTTGCCGGCTTGTCATTGATAAATAATGTTTATCTCTTTTTTGAAACTACAAAAAATGTTTTAACAACTGACTGCATCTTCAATCAGTTCTTACATAATAAATGCAGAGTTTAATCGTCATAAAGAGTTCAATTTACGAAATTTTAAATTTTAAATTCGATTAATTACTCCATTTACAATTAATTATGGTGACTGGTATGTTAATTGCAAGTATTCCTTTCTAATATTGGCCTGAAGCAAATTAATTTACCTTTTGAACTATAATTTCATGGTTCGTAAGCAACTTCTTACTTACCAAATAGAAAATGACAGTGACATTTTTTTAAAGAAAAAAAAGAACGATATGAATTTTAATAAGGATAAGATAAAAACTGCTTTTTAAAACAGCTCGAGGCTTATTTTGCATGGATTATATAACATTGTTAATGAGCATTCTCAGAAATTGAGCAGCTTAAGGACTCTTAAAGAGTACTGGCCATTCTTAAAACATTAAGTAAAACAATATACTTATATAAAAAAAACGAAAGTATAACGAAACACAAAAAATAAATAAATAAGAAATTAAAAAATTGCAGATGACTATATCCAGATCTAACCTCTCCCTTTTTTCGAAATTAATAATGAAATCTACTGGAAAAAAATGTAATGGGCGAAATCCAAAGAGGGACAATTTTATGTAACAGTTTACGTATTTACAATAAGTCATAGTTTACGTATTTACAATATGTAACAGTTTACGTATTTACAATATGTACAGTACTGTAACAGTTTACGTATTTACAATATGTAACACTTTACGTATTTACAATATGTAACAGTTTACGTATTCAATATATAACAGTTTTACGTATTTGCAGTATGTACCAGTTTACGTTTCCTTAACTTTAAGTGGTGTTATACGGATACTTTTTTTACCAACGAAAAAAAATAAAATAATAAGGTTTCAACATTTCTAAATCCCAATGTCCCTCGTTGTAAATTTTTCGTTGAAAAAATGAAAACCAAAAGCGTGCTATGGGGAAACTATTTCTCTCTTTTAAAATAAAAATTATACAATTCTGAACTCGGAGAATGCCATTTACACACCTTTTAAAGTCAATTTAAAGCTCCCCGAATACAAATATTTCATTTTTTAATGGAGACGTAACAAGATGAGCTTATCGAACCTGTTAATGTATCCCACTAAATCGTTCCACCTCAGAGCACACGCCCTACCAAATGGTTACGCATGACTACATACGAACGAAACATTTTATAACATCTGGGAAATATAATGTCAAAACAGGCTTTTACCATGTCTTGTATATATTAAGTTTAATTTATTACAGCGAAGTAGATTTGTCATCAGGTATACAGGTATATACATAATTTGTAAACAGCAAAGTATCCATTATAATAACCAAACTGATAGAGATCGCCAAGTGCCATCTGTGTGTAAAAAAAATATATATACATCTTCATATCTGAAGAACAGGTGACAAAGATGCAGCTATGATTAATAGCTTATATATCTACATCTCCATTAAATAACGTACAGTACATTCATCCTGCTGAACCCGATATAAAGAGCCAAACATATTAATAGTTCGAGTGGGTTTTTTTTTTTTTGGTTTTTTTTTTTTTGTTGCTGTTTTATAAGAAAAATATTTGGCTCTTTCAGGTCGTGGCGAATAGGCTTAGAGGGGGGAAAAACAAAAAGAAAAAAAGAAAAAAAATCGGCGCTGCAAGACTCTAAGGAATTCCTTAGAAATTGAAGGAAACGCATGGAAAAATATTCAGTTTAACTTAATTTGACAACTCTATGTGTGTGAGTGTTTCAAGTTTTCTAAAATCAAAGACATCCTTCCAATTCACAGTCAATATACAGAATGCTTTGCAGAAACAAATTTGCAGACTTCCTGCCACTCATAATGGAGACAATCATATGAAACCAATTACACAAAATGAAAAAAAAAAAAACCAAATTTGCGTTTCTTGCGTTTTACAATCCGCAAAATTCGCCGACAAATCATATTAACGCACAGACATGTTAAAATATTTCCAGATCGTTCGCTGGTTTGTTTGACAATGTGCATCATAGACGAACTTGAAAGGAATTGACGTCTGATTTTATTAGAATACAGAAAAAGGGATGCCACAATGTCTACGAACAATGATTTTCAAATGGTTTCTCCGGGTTATCTTGGGATTTATCGATAGACGCTTAGCTATCTCCGGATTTATCATCCAGTCATTATGTGCTTTCAGTGTTAATCTTTTATAACCGCTGCCTGATTGACAAAGATTTTTTTTCTGTCTCTGATACAATAAAAACAAGGTTATTAATGAATAGAAATGGTATTTAATCAACTATAGCACAATCATGAAAGAATTTACAATATCTTTAGTTTTTAATTCATTAAAGAAAAGATGCAGAAAAAAAAACAAACGGTACACAAAGCAAGTTTTTATTATTTCTTTATCTATTATTACTAATCAAAATTCCTAGCCTTTGAATTCAGATTATGGCTTCTATCTTGTTTTCCCTCCGCTTTTGAATGAAATTAAAAGACTTGCAATTAGGGTAAACTGGAATCTTACACTGGGAGAATTACAAGTTTATACATATTAAATCATGAGTTCATGCCTTTGATAAGCCCTCGGAGGTGAATAAAAATTTTTACTCCATACTTGACAGATACAAGATTTTTCTTGCATTTTTATGTATATGTTTGTTTTTACTATTTTTTTTTATCATTTTAAATTTTTGATATCTAACACGTGCACAGAATAATGAAATTAAACCTGCATCTAATATCAAAACAAAGCAGCTTACTCTATACGAGAGAGGTGCTATTTTATCATAGGAGTGATGGATAACAATTTATGTTCGCATTTAACTTGTTCTGGAACAAGAGAGAGATATACCGCCAGCTTTTTATGGGACCAATGATACGGCAGCTTGAAATAGAAGACATGTTTCAAGCTTCTCAGAATAAACGAATACCGACAGCTATAGTCGCTACCTCCAAACAAAACATAAGCAAGACAGGTCCCAGTGAAATTGACAAAACTCGCATTACACACACACATTTATTGTAAGTACAGTTTGAAACTCAAAATGTTACATGTGGAAGTACTCGGATTTAAACTTGTGTGTTCTGGAGAATACGTCTTTATGTTACATCATTGCGAATCCAGAAGCACAGGGGCATCTTATCCGCTCTGTTCTCTATTACACATATAATAAATACACTATTAAAAATCAAGGTTAAAAAACAAATTTTTGTTTGAAATACTGCATGGGAATAGTGCAAGTTGTGTTTCTTTGCTAAATCACTAAACACGTACATACATAAATATCATTATAACGAAATCTGCATCGGAGTACAGAATTCTTACTAGGAGTACAGAGGCAGTACAGTATATTTTTACCACACCTATCGTGTCCCTAATATAAAAGATATTTATCAATATAATATCGTAGCTTCGTCACTGTTGATGAATGAACACAGTTAGACAAACAGTGCCCTGACGAGCTTGCTAGTTAGAGTCGAGTCGAAGCTTTTGGCAAGGTTTGCAATAACATGTAGGATCCATGCAGAAATAATTACTGTCTTATTATCGTATACTGCATCATAATTAATTTACAAAT